TGGCACAACGAGGGGGAAATACCGACGTAGGTATCCGGTGCCCCCTCGGGCCGGTTCCCATACCTTCCACGGCGATAACATATAATAACGACGGCCCGGTGGAACCCCGTGGGCGATCTGACTTCAACGGGGAAGAGAGAAAGGGGAGATGTACCGCGGGGTAGGTACGTGTGGTATATATACACGGGCTGAGCGATCTCTGTCCCTTTTTATTTCCCTCGGCACGGTGTTTCGCTCTTTTCGACGGTACCGCGAAAGTCGAGAGCCAGCCCCGAGAAAATGAAAATTCTGCGCGGGGCGGAAATTTCTCCCGCGAGAAAACATTATCGAATATTAGTAGCTAGCCATAGAACGCTGTTTACTTTAGAAATAAATGATACACCTTCGGTATAGCGACCAAAACGATGATAAGTAGACCACGAATTTAATGCATTTATGGGAAATTTAAGTACGCGTATAAAAGTTTTTGAAACGTCAGCAGTGGCTTGCATAAATGGTGCTTGATCGATCATTACTTAATCTCGTGAAAATGTATATAAACTTCGTTCGGTACAAGGATTAATTTTTCTCTCATTAATTCATTCTCATTATTAAATTACGGTCGGTGACTGAGCGAAAAACAGACTAGACTGAAAGTCGAACAACAGAAATAAGAGAGGAAGAAACAAAGGTGATGGTGGCGGATAGCGGAGGTGAGCGCGGTGTTGAGAGGTGAAAAAAGGTGAAAAAGAGAGGAACAAAGAAGGGGAGGAGGAGGAGGAGGAGGAGGAGGATGTATGTGCTCGCAGGCTGCGAACGCGTTGTTCGTGGAGATCGCAGAAGGGGAGGGTGGAAACGGTACCGGGGGCGGAGGACGTTCGCCGTGATTACCTGGGGCGATTTCTTCTTGGGCCCACCGAGCGGCCGAGGTCCGATCCCGGGTCAGATCCGCTCGCTATGGGAAAACGCTAAACGATCAGCTCACATCACTCAGATTCCTGCTCTGCTTTTAGTGCACACAAATCTATCCATATATGCGTGCATCCTGGCTGACTAAGCGCGTATCCAAATTCTGGGCTCAAAGCTCCTTTCATCTCTTTCTCTTCGTTAAATTTTAGTATCCCACTTCTATTGCGTCGTATAAAGCCTTTTCTCGTACAGAAAAGTTGCCATTGGCCATTGTTAAAGCCAATAAGGTTTATAAATCGTCGATAATTCGCCCTCGTGTACCAACTTTTACATTATAAGAGTCTTGCTTTCCCATTGTCGCGATCAATGGTTCGAAAACTCGTTTCGCATTCTTTGTTTCACCGTCGAAAGTTAACAAGAGTCGCACTCGGCAATTGCGCCCGTCTACCACAGTGCTGCGTAAAATATATGCCGTTGTTCGGCACAGCGACAATGAATGCATGAGGATCACGCTGCGTGTATGCGAGGCGCCTCGGCCAATACGAAATCGCTTTGTCAGAGTTGGGCAAATTGTATGTGCCGGACCGAGCGAAGGATCTGCGTGGGATAGCCCGAGGGCCCGGCTAAGTCTTCGCCAGGACTCCACGGTTCGAGGATGATGGACGATGTTTTAGGGATTACGTGATACCGGAAGCGCAAACTAATGATCGCCGGTTACGTCATTGCTGAAAATGCCTGGCCAAAAACGATACTGACCTCTGAACAATCTTATCGTCGAACTAGAATTATAACACTTAAACTGCGGATTTTTATACAAAATAAAATATTACACTTTCGATGTTTTCCACGTTATATAAATTCTTCATATTTCCTGCGCATACAAATTAAAAATCCTTTCGCAGCAACAAAGTTATTATTCATTCGACGATGAAACCTGATGATATCTCGAAGAGTTGAAAAATCCGATTAATAAAGTCCTCACGCCGCCACGATTCTTCGTATATTATCACCGTTCTCTGTGTTTTCCATACAACATGATTTACTGACTGTTTTCAACAATGTCAGGAGGTTTCTTCGTTATTTGCAGCCGCAGCCTTATCTATCCGTGATCGCGGTCATTATTGTTACCTCTGTCCATTGTCGTTCGTTTCTCAAAGTGCGGAGCATAAATCCTTGTAGATGTCCCGGGCATGAGAAACGGCTATCTTCGATGCGATCTTCGCCGATGCCGTTACACGTCGACGATGATTTAGCTGGCATAAATCAATTTCGCGAGTAACACGGGAGAAAGCGAGAAGGTGGAACCCTGTTTTTTGTACTATTTTCTTACAACCCTATCGATGCTTGACTTATCTCCGATTAAGTCAGTTGCGTTTATATTTATCATCGAGAATTCATACTCGCCAATTGACTATTATACGCGTAGTTGAAACTCATTAAACCGTTCTTCAATCGGTGTTATGACGTTGAATTAAATTGAGTCGAGTCCTTTCAGATCCTATTTACCCTGCATGTAATAGGTGAAAGGTGTAACTTACTTATCATACAATGCAGCCATGCTATGCATCGATTGCAACTTTTACTGCCTTTCTCCGATGAACTTTTTTCGTATCTCAAATGCATGAGATGACTGGACAAGGAAATGACCATGTGATTTATCTTTACAATATTAAAGAAAGAGTGCAAGTTTCTTTAAATATAATGTAACAGCACGTCGCAAAACACATGCACGTTTATGTATGCCTTTTAGATTAGACAAGACATTTCCTAAGAGCATAGACAAAAAGGTCTTTCGAGCACTTAAGGAACTGCATAAGAAAGTGTAGCACAGTGGCAGAGACAGTCAGGCGAATCTCTTGCCCATCTCGGATCACGCGCGACTTTCGACAAAACAATAAGCTCTCGGCTACGTGTAATGAGGGAGGAAGGTGCGATCGAGCGTGTCGAAGGAGAGGTTGTCCGGTTTTCTACGAGTTCCCACTTTTCTTTACCCTTGTGCGTCACGTCGCAACGCTTATCCTTGCTTGTCGTTCACAGTTTCCAGAGTTCTCACCGATCAAAATAAGATTGAGACGGATCCACGGTTGGCTGCCTCTATTACCCGAAGTTTTTTACTTGCCTCTGAATAACTTATATCCTTATCTTACACTTTATTAACAACGTTATTGCTTTATTAATATAAATTGGAGAGAGGCGATCGATATAAATTGGTTGATTGATTTTAATACCAGACCAGCTCTTACTTGGCCTACAATTCTCCATGCAATTGAAATATCACCACCGTATATGGCTGGATCATTAGAAGACCACATTCTATTAATGATATCTATTATTTTGTAATTGAAACTGAAGAGAATTAGCAAGGTGTTTCCCAGTGACCTCGAATCCTCCATACAATTGAAATATCACGTTCACGCGTGGGCGAAACAATAATCCAGCGATTTCTAATCCCATCCCATTGTTTTTCGCGATCACGATTTGCCATAACAGGACCTAATTTGTAAATTGTGGTAACGAGGCCGAGCCCCAGTGACTAGGCTAACTGGCCCATGCCCATTAGTATTAACTTTATCACGAGCTTGCTCGATTTCACTTGGGATGTTAACGATTCTCGTAGAGCAGCAGATATCCGTTCAGGTTAGTTAGCCTACAGATGGTGGATCGTAACGAGCTGGCATGAATGTATAATAGTAACTGTATCGCGACGTTCTAGGCTACCGTGATACGCGAGCCGAAGGCGGAAGCAGTCGATGGCAGCCTCGAATCGAAATTTATTAACGTCGAACGTGACAGACATCACCTTGCTGGCTAGTAATTTATTAGGTTTCTAATCAACGCGATCCATCTGCTCGCTACTGTGTACGCAACAGTTGGTCGATGAGACAATCGCGCGAAAGACGTCCAAAGGTGTTTCCTTTTCTGTCAAACAAGTTATCTGACTGGATGATTAACGGTGTATAAAACAAAATGACATACTACCACTGGTAAACAATTTTCGATCGAATGATAATATGTAACAGGCAATAAAATAATAGGAAAAAATAGAAATGAGTAAAACAATGAGTAGAATTACTCTATTTTCATTTCTTTGTCTTATCCAATACTCGTAATGATTGTGTCGCCACGGCGATCGTGTTAAAATGGTAAGTTTGAAAATTTGCAGTTACGCGACGCTATTATAATAATCGTGCGAGTCACTTGGAGGGATTAAAGTGTCTGGAGGACTTTGGAGCGGCTGTGCTTTCACGTTACGTCTCTTTTATGCACAAAGCGCGCGCGCCCGCGCGAGTAGGTACATAGCAAATAGCCTTTGGACACTGTCGGGCATGGTAACGGTGTGCCTGATTGCGAGCGATATGCTCTCTGAGATATTGCCTGCTACGATGAACATCCTGGAGCGTTGTCGATGGTCACGTTTCCGCGATCCGGGCATCACGCTCCCTTTCTACTCTCTCGCCGAGGAGTTCTCTAAACTGTGGAAACCGCACGCTGACGACGCGAATCGAGCCACGTATTTCACAAACAGTTTAAATCTCTTCTAAACTCTGTTATTAACAATTTATTATTTTTTTCATTAATTAATCTTCTGTTAAATTTGAAGCTGCGAATATCTTCAGATATAAGATTACTCCATTTTCGAAAGCTAAACGCGATATTGTAATGAACGTCGTGCGGAGTGTCGATTTCAACTTTCTCGATGGAATGTCGGCGAACGTCTCGTCCGCAAAAATCTCTATCTCGCATTCATTATCGCTAGTTTCACTTTTCAACGCACAATAAATTAGGACGACAGCACCATTAGTTCGGCAGTCGTGATTCACGTACTTTCCATGAAACAATCCAAGTTCTCAATACTTTTCTATTATCGATATGACACGTTCTCTCAAATATATTCTTTACAGTATCGTTTTAAACGTACATGTATAATAATAATATTTTACGTAAAAGAGTTGCTCTCTGTTCATTGGACTCGAATCGATAATACAATTTTATTACGAAATTGTACGGCTTTGATAAGCCGACGTTAATCAATTTTTCTATTACAATTCGATACGACAAGCAATGAAGTTTGGAGATCGAGGAGCGGTTAATGAACTTTTTAAAGGGCTTACTTGGTCAGCGTTTCGAGCGAGGAGGTGTATATCGTGCCACCCACGTCGATGTGGACCGGTGCCGTGTACCTGGAAGCGGCTGCCACGCACGGTATCCCGGTCATTTTCTGGTTGTAAGCCGGTGCAGCCGGTGTCGGTGGCGTCGGTGACGAGGAATTCGACATTGTGGGCGACGTGGCCGGCGAACTGCTTGGCGACAGCAATCTGACAAATATACTTTCGACATTAGCCACCATCAGGCCCTGTCCGATGTATAAGAATGAATGATAAAAAGTTACTTAACATTTTTCAAGATACGCTTATAGGGCACTAATTTCGTTCTTAATCTTGAAAATTGATATTCTGAGGTTGAAGTAATTATTACGGCCCAACTACTACAGATTTTCACTTTCGAATTGCTTCTAATCTTTACTGTTTGCAATTACATTTAGAAAATGACATATTAGCAGTGATATTTCTATTGTTAAGATTTACAAGTGGTCTCTTGAAATATTCCTGTTGCATGCTGCAATCAATTGTGTTACGTAAGAAGAAGGAATTTCAATTGCACGGAGGAGTATCGTTTTCTCGGTGTGCCAGCGTTTGATCACGCATAAGCATATTGCTCTTTAAGAATCCGACTTAAGCGTGGTTCTATTTACCTCATTTTGATTTGAGCGCTAGGGAACATATTGCGTTGCGGCAGCTCCGCCTTCGCCTCCTTTCCGTCGGCCTCACATTTCCGTCTGTAATTAAAAATCCACCGTAATATAAACGA